AATGGCAAACGTACGGCTCGTGAACCACGTGGTCAGACGCGGCGGCCCGTGTCTGACGGCCACCACTACTCCCGCTATTATCAACACTACCGTCAACTCTACGGCCCGACGACTACTGCCGACCACCGCATGTCTGGCGCCGGGTGTTGGCCAACATCGGCGCCACTTCTACTCGTATTGCAATGAGCCGACACATCCCATACCTCAACGTACGCCCAAATGGATGTCACCCGAAGAGGCACTCTCTGTGGTCAAGTCAGGTGAGAGAGGCATTGGGATCAGCTGCTGGTGATGATAATGACTATCATTTAATCGGCCGTATTGTGTGGTGCCGTTAATCGGGTTGTGATGTGTATTATGTTGTATGTATCGTAAGTTTTGGGTGTAGTGTACGGCCGGCCCGACCCGACTTGACTATTGGTCTGGACTGTAGGCCTCGGGTGTGATGACTGGCCGCTATTGGTGTGGTTTAGGAGATGGTATAGTGTATGCACTCGTTATAGTGAACCAGTGATCAGTTTGGGTGACAGGTTCTGGTGCTGACCTTGGGTTTTGAGTGTTTGATTTTTAGGTGTTAATTATGGTTAGCGTTTGGATGTCTGGGTTCACTATAAGGGGGTTTGACTTTTACCCTAATGGTACCGGTAATAGGTCTGTGTCTTTATAGTGTATATCTGTTGGTTTAGGTATTAATTTAGCTATTTTTAGGTGTTTTTTGATTAATTATATCCTGTTTTGAATGGTTGTAGTGTTTAGTGGTTTTACTGTTCATTATAACGGGTTTTAATTTATGTTTAGTTTTGTGTACACTATTTAAGCATATGTTTTGTTTGATGTGTTAATTGTAACCCAAAATGTTATTTGATTTATAATTAGGTTTTGTTTTTTCATGTTTTTTATATGCATTTTAGTTATAATTTTTGGCTTCAATTCAATTGTAATTGAAATGACTTTACGTTTCATTTTTCTGACATATTTTCCCCGTATTTTGAAATGCATTCAAAATAAAAATAAAATTATTTTTGGTTATAATATGTTGTAAAAGTAGTTTCAATTAAAAGTCAGTATTTTTTGTCATTTGTATTTATAAATAATTGATGATTTAATTCAAGGCATGTTTTCCCCGATGAAAATGCTTGAAAACACAATGAGTTTTATGTTTTCACGGCTTTTAAGTGTTAAATTAATTATTTCTAATTATTTTTTTTATAATGAATTAATTAATTAAATGTGTTATTAATATTAAAATTTAATTTGCAGTCTATTTTTTGGGTACAATTTTTGTCAACATTTAATTGAAATACTTATGAATTTTCATATGATTTGTTGGTTTTGTTTATAAATTCAAAGTACAGACAGTTTTATGATTTGATTTGATTATTGAATAATAAATAATAATAAGACTTTTAATTATAATATAAATATATAAACACTATTTTTCAATAGAGATATTTATTATCTGCCGTTTTATCGGGTATTTTGAACCAAAAATATTAGTTTTAATTTATATTCAGTTTATTATCGATTGAAAGTTTTTTTTAACTTTTTATTTTTGTCTCCGATTTTTAGACCCGTTTTCAAGGTTTAAATGTACCGATCGTTGCCTATAGGGAGGGGTGGCTAAGGGTTGGGGTATAGGGGTGTATGTGAAGGGGTTGGGCGGGTGTTAAGGGGTGTTAAAGACCCGGTGCTCCGAACCCTCTAAAGGTTTTCGCAATTGATTTATTAGTTTACAGACAAAAGCCATTCATTTGAATGACAGCTTTTGACAGTTATTTCTCAAACCATTGATTAGATAAGAGATGTGTTTGTATTTATAGACTTTGCACTCAATTGGCGGTAAATATTTGTTTTAATAATTGTTTTTTGTTTTTAATTATAGTTTAAAATTAAGTTAAAGTAATTTTTAATTGATTTTTTGTTTGCGATCTATATTGAGGTGTATTTTGTATGGGTTTTAATTGTTTGCAACATTTGTTTTAATTGTTTGGCTAATAATGACATGTGTTTGCAGTCAATCATGCAATTTATTTAATGTTTAGAAATAGGGTTTAATTAAAAGTATTTTGTTTTTTATTAATTATAAAAATTTAATGTAATTTTTATGTCTATTTTAGTGTAAATTATTGATTAAATGGAAAATTAATTAATTGTCTATACGTCTGATTGAGACAACTCTTCGGCTGATCTGATCTCGTGATTGGTTTTTATGTATTTTTTGGTTTTAATTATTAGTTTTCATTGAATTTTGTTTTCCTTGTGATAACAAATCCAATGAAACGCTCAAAATAGGCATAAAATTAGATGTTTTTACATTAGTTTTAAATTAAATGATAATTTCTGTAATTAATGTGAGTTTTAATTAGATTTTTAACACGAAAATACAGGCAATTATCCACTGATTTCGTGGTATAACTCGTGTTATCTTAAGACTGCCCTTAACTTAAAGACGTTAACTAAAAGTACTGATAATTGGTATAAAATTATCACTTTGGGAGCAATTGCTCTGATTATCAACAAAATCATTACATAATACCATTGAATTCACTGTTAAATAATTGCACAAAATTATCACTATTTGGGAACAATTGCTCTAATTATCAACAAAATTAAACAAATACACCATTGAATCCATTGTTAACTAAAAACAGACAAAACAATTGATATTCAATGCGATTAACGGCACAAAAAACTAACAAATAATTAAAACTAAAATTAAATAAACAATTAAATTAATACAAAAATTACCCTAATCAAACAGGCGACCACGTGTTCGTGCATGGTGCCGCGGCCACGCCCCGAGTGCTGGTACCCGCGCTCGCAGCTCATGGTAAAAAAGCGGGCCTCAAGAACGTACGCGTGCATCACATCCACACGGAGGGCGCCGGCGAGTACAACGCGCCCGAGTATAAGGACATATTCCGGTCAAACTCGCTGTTCACCGGCGGTAACTGTCGGGAGCCGATCAACGCCGGTCGCGCCGACTTTACCCCGATCTTCTTGGGCGATATACCCAAGTTGTTCTACAAGGGTA